CTCGCATCCCCCTCCCCGGCCAGCCCCGTCCTGGTCGCTGCACGTAATTAACAGCATTATTAAATTACCTTCTTTAAAAGATAGCAATAGTAAGAGCGGGGTGATTTGGCTGCAATCGCCCCCGTTGGGGCCTGGGTTAGTGGCATCCTGCCTGGCGTTTCTGGCTTGTGTCGGGACTCGGGGGCATCTCCGAGAGTCACCTTTAGAGGTTTTAAATATTTTTAAATGGGAGTAATTTTGACTTTGATTCCTTTCCTCCGTGCCACAAATAAGGGGGGGAAAAACCCCCACGTTGTCAGAGGCTGCAAAGAGGCTTGAAACGATGCGTGTGTGATTTGCTTATCCATATTCTTGTATAAAGTGGATTTCACTGATTTTTAAGGGCGGAGAGGATTTTTACCTGGCCTCCCGCAGGAGTGAGGTCATAAGACGATTTTGTGGTTATCGAGGAATACATAGTTATTAATCATAACTAATGAGGTCTTGCCCGGGGGGGCGGCATTTCATTTCTCCTTCTGTTTCCTTGGGCTTTCGATCAACGATCTTTCTGCCTGAAAGAACTGGATAACTGTTCTCCAGGTCAGAATTTCAGTCTTCCCAACTCACGTTCAAGCCAAGGCACCTCCATGCCCCTCTCAACACACCGCACAAATAAAATCCGCTTTTAACCTGTGGGCAGCTGGTTCTACACTACATCTTTTTTGTGTTTGGAGCTAAATCTACCAACGCTGCTCCAGCGACATCTTTCAGTCTTCAGCGGTCTTTCCATGGCAAAGAATTAAAAATTTATCTTAAGTGCTCTTTCCATAAGGGGCACTAACTCCCGAGGCCCTCAAAATAGAAACACGTGCATGGGGAGCAGTCTCCGGGTACTCGCGTCTGGCCTACGAATTAGGGGGAAGTAGCTATCGATTTCCGATTAAATGTTTAGAGAAAAAATGTTTAATTCAGGCCAGATTTGTCCAGAGAAGCACTTACACCCCCATGAAACAGCCGAGCACGTGCATGCACAATCAATCGCGCGCTCACACGTACGAAGGACAAACACGCGTCGCCTCGCACCAACACCCGGCTCCGGCAGTGGCACTCATCCGCCGTCAAACACCCAGCGCGCCGGCACGCTC